GTAGTAACTACAAATCTTAAATCATTTATTTCTACAGTATGCTTGTTGAACCCTGTTCCATAACTCTGCTGCTTGTCTCACGTCAAACATTTTCTTTTCTTCCTTTCTGGTGTGTGCTCATAGCCCAATATTGCGTCCTACTATCCATGAGATTATTACTACCAAGATCAAAGCACAGGCAGGATGTTTCAATGGGGCGAGGCCTAGTCTTGGCCATGCTGCCTTGCCTACTGTTGCAGCTCTACACTATCTCAAAGGGCGGCTAGAAACTCGCCATTTGCCAAAGCAGAAACGTCAGAATGGGGTTTCACTCTCTGGAGCTTTAACGACAGTGAGCCCTGTCTCCCCTGTAATGTCGCCAGCTGGAGCAGCTCAAGAACTTCTTGACTCCATATTAGACACGGTCGTTAGGATCTTTGGTAGGATTATATATTAAGCTTTTGGTAGTTACATGTTTTTGTACTCTGCTGCCACCTTAATTTTCTACAATGAATGGTTATTCAGAAAACCGTGTTATTGTTGGTGAGCTACTTGAGTCAATGGCTTCACAACAAGTTAACATGAACACTCCAAAAGCAATGGCTGCTGATGTCAGTTGGAGTCACGATTCTGATGCTTCTCATGATACTGGTGGCTATACGATTGGCTTTTCCTTAACTGTTCTACAGGTTCTTCTGTTTACATGTTAATTTGCATTGTTTGAACCTTACTGAAACAAATTGCAGATAGAACATTATCTAATTATATTTTATCGCAATGCATGATGATAGAGTGAGTGCCAACAACTAATATGTGAAATCTTACGGGCAACTCCTGAAGCTGCCTCTGCTGATGCTGCTGTTCTAACTGCTAGACTCCCTAGCAAGGCCCCTCTAAAGATAAGAGGTAAGCATTCATGGGTTTATTTTTTCATCTGATGTACTCCTGCATCTTATAAACTTTTCCTTCTTGTGGTGCTTATTCTTCTACCTTGAAACTGTGTGCACTTCGTAAGAAAGTAATATAGGTTCAAAAAAAAAAAAGTACATATAAATGTAGATTTATAGTGCATTCCGCATTAAATAAATTTGATAATTATATTGTCTATTTTCAAATTTAGAACTTGAGAAAATATATAAGAGACTATTTAGAATATGGGTTAACGACATGGGAATTTAATTTTACGCACAAGACCCTTCCAAAATAATATAGAAAATAAATGTTATAAAAAATACTAAAGATAGCAAATATGTTTTGAGAGGAAATAATACCATTTGTACTTGCCCCAATTAGTATATATAGATTTTGCGGTTTTGTGCCTCCGGCCTCTTTCGCCTATTTGCACAAGTGCAATGCTGGGTTGCATGTGCTATTTTTAAGTGTTAACAGTTTATTTTCAAGTGTAACAGCTTATACAGCGTTTGTAATGTCCATCTGACAAGCATATTAGTGCATACACGTCGAACACAACCCCTTATGACAAATTCAGCACAAAATTATTGTGCTGGATATATTTGAATTTTTGCGAATTACTGTGGAAATCACGCTGCTCGGAGATAATGACATTAATGGTGTTAGTAGTTATTTGTCGGAGGGGCTGTTGTACAGATTTTGTTAATTGACGTATATTGCTGATTTGACAGATCTAGGCACTTCTCTTTTCGAAATGATACCCTCTGGCATCATTCTGGAGATGTGTTATATTTCCTTTTTGAATTAATAACTCTTTCTATAGCCACAAAATAATGATTGTTGCCTGACCAATGGCTTGTAGGGATGGATCAGAAGATGGTCTCACCTTTGCATTTCGCTTTACAGATGTTACTAGTGTTTTCGTTCCTAACCAGGATATGAGCTAGCTGTATGATTTGTTTGTTTACCACTGTTGAAAGCTGTTCTTATATATTGCTCTCTCCTTGTATGCGAGCTGAGTTGCCTCGTGGTTTCTGAAATTTCATGCATGACGCTTTGGTAACAATTTCTTGTTATCTAATGTCGTATTAGTGTGCCAACATTTATTATCTTCTGCACGAATTATGCGGTGAATGCAGTTACTATCGTTTGGTATCATTTATCCTTTTCTTTTGTAGAAAAATTAAAATCATTCATGTTCTGACACTATAATGAATTAAAAAGAATCGCTCCATTTGTAACTACAATGTTGCTTTTGGATCTATCATGTCACTATAATGATATATAACTTGAGT